CAGCAGCGGGGTTGTCGGGCTGGTTCGGACACCGCAACCGAGGTGGAGCAAACGCAGAGTCTACCAAGACTGATGAAACTTCACTTCCAGACTCACTAACCAGTGAGCAAGACTTCTCCGTCTTCAGCATCACGTGGAATGTGTTCCTGCTGCTAATGGGCTTACACTGGATGTGGAAGCAGATTACCAGGCCTCCTATCAGATGTATGGAGCGCCAACAACCAAAATCAAGAGCAGCAGCGAACCAAAGAGTTCCATTCCTCGAACCCGAGGATGAACCGCAGACGCGTGAACCTTTAGGACCCAACAGGGTTAATTCCGGAGAAACAACTGATCTGCGACCTATCTGGCATACTTCCCGAAGCGAAGTCTACCACCTCTCAGACAGCTGTTACCAGCTTAAGCAAGCAAGAGATGTCTGCAAGAAGGTGCTGTGCAAAAACTGCCTCCATGCAGTACAAGTTGCGGAGATTCGCAGGAATGATCCTTTCCAAAGAGGTGATACACGACCACGTGGCACCGAAAGAGACATTGAGCGCTTCCAGACCTACGATGATGCAAGTAACACTCCTCACATGACACAATTATTCCAGGATGCCTTGCATGCACAAATGGCCGAGGAAGCCATGCAGATTACCTACACATCGATCCCTAAGGGATCCACGGCAAAGGCCAGAGGTACATCTGCACTCCCAAGTGCCGCATCGTCATCAGCGCCCAAGGCAATGCCACCAGGGCCTAACAAGGCTAACATGTCACCTCCACCTAAGAGTCCTCCGCCGAAGGCGAAAGGAACAGTACCTTCTGATCCTCCAAGACCAAAAGGTCCTACCAGAAGAGGAGGTCAAAATCGCCGTATTCAACGAAAGGCAGCTAGAGAAGCCCACAACAGTGGACTCTGCACCTATGCAGACGCTGCACTTGACCAAGCCAATCAAGGCCAGGCAATTAACGTTACGTGCCGAAACATAGTATCAAGACACGTCAGCTCTATCGATGCGACAGTAGAAGCAGCCGGCCAGTTTACACAACGCGTGCTACAGCACGTAGAAACATATGATGAAGAGGAACCATGGAGCACGGAGTTCCTACCGATCGTGGAAGTCCTATTCAGGAACTTAAGCGGCGACGAAACAACTGTCATACATGACAATCAAACGGTAACTATGCCTCTTGCGAAATACACAGACCTCCTCAGAATCGCACAAGCATTGCGAGGCTCTATCCAGAGAGACAAGGAGGAAAGAAAGGAACATCTTGACACCATCCAAGATACTCTATCCAGAGTGGAAATCCTTCTCACAGCACTGAAGGACTCAAGGACAGTCTTTAATCAATTGGTCAATTCCTCACTAGAGATAGAGCGAAGAAATAACAATCTCAAAAATGTCCTCGAGACACTCTTTGATGACCAAAGCTCTGAGGAAGACCAATCAGAATCTGACAATGAAGAAGTCCTAACTCCTTCTGCACCACAGTACTGGAATAGCCTTTATGCCCACGCCTTATCTCCCTCAGGAGATGAAAGTGAAAGATCATGGGCGTCCTCAGACGGACAGCTTGAAAGAAGAAGGGCTGAAAGGGCAAAGGCTAAGCAGCCGCAACCGGCAAAAGCCAAGGCAACTCCAGTCAGCTCACAAGCTGCTCCAAAGGCCGAGCCAAAGGCGACAACATCCAACCATGGATATGATACTGCAGATGCCGCCTTCACCAGGGCTGAGAATAGATTACTCGGAATCTTTTCAAGTTCCGAAGAAGACCACTCAGACCCGGATGAGCCACATCCGAACGTTTACGCTCGAGCCTATGATCCAAACCTGGATCCGAATCTGAGATAAGAAAATTCTCAGAGTTTCACAACAGTGAATCACAAGGCTCTAACAAGAGCACAATGAGTGGCTGCATAATTCGGTAGTAGAACATCACCAGACCTGATCTTGTACAGATGATCTCTCTGACAAATATGCAAGAGTGTGTGTGCAAAAACGAGTGGAGTGTCCTCAGCAGTGTACTTCAGTGCTATACCTAGCATACATAATATGCTGTTTTTATAATGAGTCCAAAACTCCGCAACTGTGACAGTGGGCATAACAGTATATGTGTGAATGTGCGGCCATGCTTTCGGTAAAAGAAAATTAGTGTCTGTTTGAAACCATAAACCTCTAAAGGGGTAGCTCTAACAGGTACCTACAGCAATGGCTGCATGCTCATACATATACATTCCGCTGCCCATTGGCTCACAGTGGTTTTACCATATTGAGACAAGACAAGCTCTCCTTGCGTAGCAAGACAAAACAACTACTGTCCGTGTGCAGGGCGCTGCCCTTTGATCCTTAGGGAATAAACTGGTCATACACCTCCTTACAAGGAGTATCCCTTGGGGGTGTATCGGCACAGGGGGAGGGGGGGAGGGGGGGGAGGGAGGGGAGGGGGGGAGGAAGGAGGGGCCCGGGAGGGGGGGGCAGGAGGGGGGAGGCAAGTTTGGCAGCAAAAAAGGACGGAAGCCGGGCAAGGGGGTCGAAAACAGTCGCTAAAAACGGGTGATTCGGGCTGCAGGGAGAAGGATTAGGTAGAGGGTTGGTTAGTATTAACCATCAAGACGCCAGAGGCCTTTGGCCTCGGCGGATTAAACTGGAAGCTGTTCTCCGAAGCAGATGCTACCGAACAGCACAGTTGTTGAACACCAGGTCTGGTCAGCAGACGCACAGGCATGTGACTGCAAGAAAATTGTTCTGTGCTTTAAAAGGTCCACCTGTACTACGAGCCTCAGTGAGCCTGCTCCTAGCCAGCAAGCCCCATTTGTGAGGTGGCAAGTGCCCCTACACCGACAGATCTTGAGTAGCACACGCAACATAAGAAGTCCATGACCACGGGCGAGAGCTCGGAGAATGCTCGGGTTTGGTTGAGGCTTGCCGGAGCTTCTTAGCAAGCTGGCTAGGTCAATGCCTCAAGTATCCCTTTCTCCCAAAGACGGATGCAAGTAGGTGCATTGCATCGCAGGCCGGTCCCTCGGTAGAAAAGAGGTGGTCGGCCTGCTGGCCATGATCATTTTTGCTGCATTTCGTGCGGGTGGCAGAGTCCGCATCCGAAGAGTCGAAGCTCCAGGTTTCTCCATCGTGCAACATCTCGCCCGAAGCCCATCATCCCATCTGCCTACGGGAAGACGAACAGTGCCTTCAAGGGAACAACCACGCCTGTTGTCCGGATGAGCAGGGGAATAACCTTGTGCAACGCGAGTCTTATGGAAAGGCGGCCCAGGCACAGCACGGCATTCGAACGGTTGCAGCTCACTAGGCTCAAAGCAGCGGCATCCCGAACCCCCCCGGATCTTTCTGTCATCATGGCCAAGTCCAGCCTGCTGTCTGCCGTGCCTCAGCTACAGTGCACGGAGGAGTTCTTGCGGCATCGTGGCGTTTGTCAGCATTGTCAGCAAAAGGGACAGATAATGCTTCCAAGACGCTGAGAAACAAGGACATGGGATAAACGAGCCAACGCTTGTGCCATCTTCTGCCGCTGCCGGCCTCGCGAGGTCATGCTGGTCGCCTTCCTGGGCTCCTCCCTCTCCTTCGTGGGCCTGCGCGCGGCGCCCCGCCAGGTCGGATGGCGGGAGAAGCCGAGCTCCCAAGTAGCCTGAGCTGGGCTGGTCCTTGCAACTGCGCCAGGAGAGCCGCACGGCTCTGAGGGGACAAGCCGGTGCCTCCGCCACCCCGTGGTGCCTTGGCAGGGCAGCTCCTTCCGTGAAGCATAGTGGGGAGCCCTTCAAAGTGCCAAGGACACCAGTCCTCACCCGCGACGTGGTGGAGATCGAGTCCTGGGCTCAGTTGAGGCCGAACCGCCCCAAACCTTCTTCGACTTTGGGGGCTCAGGTTTACCGCTCCTGCACAGGGTGCCCGATGCCGCTTCATGATCAAGGCAGCGATGTGTTGTCAACAGTTCTGTACAGAACTGTTTCATGACAAATTATCATGCATGGGGTAGGTGCTGCGATCCTCGGCATGGCTGCATGTCCTAGCGCCATGTTCAGCACCCGCCCAGCAGGCTGACGCAGATGCCAGCGAGGCTGGTCGGCCCAAAGCACGTTCGCCTCGACCCGATGTCCTGCGGAGGTGCTGTCAGAGGGCCGCAAGAGGCTGGGCTTCAACCAGGAATGGATGCCGGACTCCGACTTCAAGCTCCTGGGCTCAAGGGACTTGTGCTTTTGCTGTATCCCTGCCTGTCGTCCTGAACCCATCAGATCATCAGGCCTTAGCCCCAAACCCAACGCTCATTCGGTTTCTGTGGCGCTCCGCTTGAAGTGTCTCCAGGATCTACAACTCCGAAGACGAGGAAGCCGGTCCCCTTAAGGTGCGGTGGCTTGTGGGCTTCAGGGACTTTGATTTTGGTTCTGCCACGAAAAAAGATCAGCACTGGAGCGGCATGCAAGAGGGAGTCATGACGAGACCAGGGCAAGATGAAGGACAACGGCCTCATTGACTTCACCTACGAGGCCAGGTGTTCATGCTGGGAAGGGCACAGTCTAGTGCCTCCGTTTGGGCCTCCAAAGTGAAGTCGGGCTTCTCTGCGCCCTGCAAGCAGTGCATACCAGAGGTCCACCTGTACTACGAGCCTCAGTGAGAGCAGCAAAACTGGCCATGAGAATACGCGGGTCTGTAAATGGGACGGTGCGATGGCAAGTACCATGCTGGTCTGCCTAGCCCAGTTTTGCAAGCAGCAGGTAGCTGATTCGTCTGTAGTGGCCTAGTGATACTCCGAGGATGCTCGTCTGATACAAGCTTGTAAGGGCATTTAGGCAGGGCAGCTGGCAGTGTCCTTTCTCCCAAGGCTGCAAGTAGATGCATTGCATCGCAGGCCTCCCTCGGAAAGAAAGGGACCTGGCACGTGGTTGATGCGCTGTGATATCACTGTGACCTCCCCCGCGCGCACAGTGATCTCATTTCGGAGGTTTGAGGCTCAAAGATACCGGCATCTCCCAGACCCGTGACCCGCTCCCTCCTATCGCCATGGCCAAGTCGAGCTTGCTGTCAGCTGTGTCTCAGCGGCAGAAGCTTTGAGCCAACACCTCTGCCGCTGCCGGCCTCGCGAGGTCATGCTGGTCGCCTTCCTGGGCTCCTCCCTCTCCTTCGTGGGCCTGCGCGCGGCGCCCCGCCAGGTCGGATGGCGGGAGAAGCCGAGCTCCCAAGTAGCCTGAGCTGGGCTGGTCCTTGCAACTGCGCCAGGAGAGCCGCACGGCTCTGAGGGGACAAGCCGGTGCCTCCGCCACCCCGTGGTGCCTTGGCAGGGCAGCTCCTTCCGTGAAGCATAGTGGGGAGCCCTTCAAAGTGCCAGGACACCAGTCCTCACCCGCGACGTGGTGGAGATCGAGTCCTGGGCTCAGTTGAGGCCGAACCGCCCCAAACCTTCTTCGACTTTGGGGGCTCAGGTTTACCGCTCCTGCACAGGGTGCCCGATGCCGCTTCATGATCAAGGCAGCGATGTGTTGTCAACAGTTCTGTACAGAACTGTTTCATGACAAATTATCATGCATGGGGTAGGTGCTGCGATCCTCGGCATGGCTGCATGTCCTAGCGCCATGTTCAGCACCCGCCCAGCAGGCTGACGCAGATGCCAGCGAGGCTGGTCGGCCGAAAGCACGTTCGCCTCGACCCGATGTCCTGCGGAGGTGCTGTCAGAGGGCCGAAAGAGGCTGGGCTTCAACCAGGAATGGATGCCGGACTCCGACTTCAAGCTCCTGGGCTCAAGGGACTTGTGCTTTTGCTGTATCCCTGCCTGTCGTCCTGAACCCATCAGATCATCAGGCCTTAGCCCCAAACCCAACGCTCATTCGGTTTCTGTGGCGCTCCGCTTGAAGTGTCTCCAGGATCTACAACTCCGAAGACGAGGAAGCCGGTCCCCTTAAGGTGCGGTGGCTTGTGGGCTTCAGGGACTTTGATTTTGGTTCTGCCACGAAAAAGGATCAGCACTGGAGCGGCATGCAAGAGGGAGTCATGACGAGACCAGGGCAAGATGAAGGACAACGGCCTCATTGACTTCACCTACGAGGCCAGGAGTTCATGCTGGGAAGGGCACAGTCTAGTGCCTCCGTTTGGGCCTCCAAAGTGAAGTCGGGCTTCTCTGCGCCCTGCAAGCAGTGCATACCAGAGGTCCACCTGTACTACGAGCCTCAGTGAGAGCAGCAAAACTGGCCATGAGAATACGCGGGTCTGTAAATGGGACGGTGCGATGGCAAGTACCATGCTGGTCTGCCTAGCCCAGTTTTGCAAGCAGCAGGTAGCTGATTCGTCTGTAGTGGCCTAGTGATACTCCGAGGATGCTCGTCTGATACAAGCTTGTAAGGGCATTTGGGCAGGGCAGCTGGCAGTGTCCTTTCTCCCAAGGCTGCAAGTAGATGCATTGCATCGCAGGCCTCCCTCGGAAAGAAAGGGACCTGGCACGTGGTTGATGCGCTGTGATATCACTGTGACCTCCCCCGCGCGCACAGTGATCTCATTTCGGAGGTTTGAGGCTCAAAGATACCGGCATCTCCCAGACCCGTGACCCGCTCCCTCCTATCGCCATGGCCAAGTCGAGCTTGCTGTCAGCTGTGTCTCAGCGGCAGAAGCTTTGAGCCAACACCTCTGCCGCTGCCGGCCTCGCGAGGTCATGCTGGTCGCCTTCCTGGGCTCCTCCCTCTCCTTCGTGGGCCTGCGCGCGGCGCCCCGCCAGGTCGGATGGCGGGAGAAGCCGAGCTCCCAAGTAGCCTGAGCTGGGCTGGTCCTTGCAACTGCGCCAGGAGAGCCGCACGGCTCTGAGGGGACAAGCCGGTGCCTCCGCCACCCCGTGGTGCCTTGGCAGGGCAGCTCCTTCCGTGAAGCATAGTGGGGAGCCCTTCAAAGTGCCAAGGACACCAGTCCTCACCCGCGACGTGGTGGAGATCGAGTCCTGGGCTCAGTTGAATCTGCATTTCAACAAACGCGACAGGAAGGCCGGAGTATTTCCATAGGCATTGGCTGGTTGCTTCACGCCGTCTTGCAGAGCCCATCACAGGTTCACTGCTCCGGCACAGGGCGCACGCTGCCGCTTCATGATCAAGGCGGTTTTCTCCAATTGCTTATCTCTGCTCTTCCAAAATAGTGCCCCGCAGCTTGCCAGTAGTTTCTAAGCTCTGATCATCTCAATCTTGGAGATCCTGGCATGCAGAGGCTGATGCAGATGCGAGCGAGGCCCGCGAAGCCATGCAAAGTCTCCGTGCGGTCATGTCTGGAATACACTTGTGCATCTTGTGTCATAAGCTTTCCAAATCGTTCAGACTTCTTGCTCTGCTCTGGAGGTGGGTTTTGCAGCAGAAGCGTCTGTTCTTTTGTCGTGATGCCTGTCCGATGTGTACGTCTCCCAGCCAGGATAGACGCCTGACATCCTCACTCACCCGTCATCTGACTATCGCATAGTCTTGAAGTTGCTTTCTCCGGAGGTGCTTTCCGAGGGCCGCAAGAGGCTGGGCTTCAACCAGGAATGGATGCCGGACTCCGACTTCAAGCGGCTGGGCTGAACTGTGACGATCTCGCTGTGTCTCGTACTTCCAGCACGGCGTTTACATTGGAAGGATCTACAACTCCGAGGACGAAGAAGCCGGCCCTCTGAAGGCCTGTCTTGTCGTGGACGTCAAGCTACTAGCAGCTTTCGGTCTAGACGGGGGCAGGGGGCGCTGGTTTCAGGGTTGGTAGAAGGAGAGTCAGCTGAAAGGACACTGGCTTGAAAGTCCTCGAGACCCCGTGCGACTCACAAGCCCTGCCTTCTCCCACTTGTGTTGGGCCTGCCAAGGGCTGAATCGCCCATCAGTGGCTTAACCTGTCCGTCACCCGGCTTTCCAGGGCAAGATGAAGGACAACGGCCTCATTGACTTCACCTACGAGGCAACGTGGGGGTTGAGTCGTACCAACTTCGCATTCCAGCGGGGTCCAGCGAGCTGGAGTGTGGTGGAGTAAATTCGCATGCCTGTGTTTCTCACGACGCTCAGTGGAGCAGATGTGAGGTCCACCTCTACTACGAGCCTCAGTGAGTGTCAGAACATCTCTTAGAATTCTAGGGTCTGATTCTGATGCTCGGTTGCCTTGAGGCCTACGACTGCACAAGCCAGATGGGAGCGGAACAGTACAAGTAGAGGAAGAGATGCAGCATGATGTAGTTGTGCTCTTGTTGTGCTCTTGTGCCCTTTTTGGTGACAGAAGTGGAAAATGTGTATTCGAGGCCTTCGCGGGCTTTTTGGCAGGCTGGCTAAGCTAGCTCTAATCTTGCTGCTTTCTCCCGGCCCAGCAGCAGATGCTTCAACATCAGCTTCATCGTGGCATCAAGAGGAATCAAACGGCAAAATGTTCGTCAGCTTTCCGGCTTTTGGATGCTTGGGGGTTTGTTTGTGTTACGTGTGACGTCTGAGCTGCTGTCGTTGGAGCATATCTTTGTGCCAAGCTCGTCTTGTCTCCACTCGCGGCTCGCCCATCTTTCAGCAGCTGGGTGCCTGCTCTGACCACACGAGACCTGTCACGCCGTTGGTCTCGTCAAGTCAACTAAAGTCGTCTCATGGTCATGTTCAGAGTTCGGGGAAAAGGTCTTGATAACCTACAGTGACATCGTTCATGGTTCGACTCATAAGTTTCCGAAGCTCATCCTGACATTCGTGCCGGCAGCAAGGAATGTCCCTCAGCTCTACACAGCCGCATCGTCGTAGATGGACACTCGCGTGCACGTGGAGAATTCGCCGCACGAGCTGTTGTTGCCGTACTCCATCGTCTCGAGGAGCCGACAATCACTGTGTCAAAGCATCCAGAGAACCGAGCAGATTTGTACACAAAGTTTTAAACCCCAAGCCTTCGTTTGCCGTGGCTGTTTGGCTTGAGGGTCCTTCCCACAAGTGGCACCCTTCATCCCACTGGCGAAGCCAGGTGCACCTTGGCAGCTCCAGTCGGCAATGAGCATTCTGCATCTAATCACGGCCGGTGCCGAACAACGGACGATGATGATGAAGATGAGGATGACAATGTAGATGACCATGACGGTGGAGGTGAAGAAGAAAATGGTGACATTGTGTTACACTGATATGATGATGCTGATGATGATGGCACTGCTGCTGCTGCTGCTGCTGCTCTTGCTGCGCCTGCTCACATGCTCCTGTGCCTGGTGCTGCTTCGACTTCTTGCGGTACGTCTATGTCTACTGCTACCACGGCCTAGAATTATCATAAGCATCATCATCATCATCCTCATCGTCACCACAGCCTTAGGATCAGCATCAGCATGAGCAGTATCAGCGCATACCATCACCAACACCACCAGCATCACCACAATCGTTACTATCGTCGTAACTATAGCCATCATTACCCTGGTCCCGGAATTTTAAAGCATTTATCACAAGAAGGCTGTTGCAGCAGTGACTGTCCAGCGCTACTTAGGTTTTCTCTTTGTTCATTAGCCCTTCGTTTGCCATTTCCAGCCCAGTCAATCCGGCTCGTTTAAGAAGGATGCTGGCCGCTGCCAGAGCCTGGAGTTGGTGATCGTATCGGGGTTCATGACACGCTGCTCTGGGCCTTTTGGCGCTTCCCTGAGCGACATGCCAGCCAGGGCTTTGCCTGTTTCCGTGTACCGCATTCCTGTGGCGGCCTAAGCATCGCCTCCGCAAAGCTGCAACAGAGGGCACGAGCTGTTATGACTCATGACCACCCAAGGCCGTTGAGACGTTAGCTTTGTCGGTCTAAGGATAAGGCATCGAGAGTGAGAATTTATGGGACTGCAGCCCCAAGCACCACCCAAAGCACAAGCTGCCATCCTAATCATGTTTCCATGATCCATGATGGCAGACAGAATATAGAGTCGAATATCATGGCGACCTGCATTGCAATAATGAAGACAAAGCTGTAGTGCAGTTGGTCCGAGGCAATGCGGAATGTTCAGCTTTCCCTGCTGATCCTGTCTGCCCGGCAGAATTAGTCGGGTTTCTGCGATGCCAGCACGACTTCAAGGAATCTCTGACTGGTTGTTGGCAGCACCAGGACCGCAGCAGGTCTTGTGGGTGAGGCTAGCGCCGGGCACATAGCATCGTCGCAGGCAGCAGAGCGGATTGAGTTGCAGAGGTTCGTTTGACATCTACCAATGCCTGCGGTCTTTGCTGATGAAGTCAGCCATAAGCAAGCTGTCGTCGGTTGCGATCTGTTGCAGATGCATTGCCAAACAGGATCCACCGCAAATGCTAAGGACTCGAGCGAAGTAGATCAGCATGCAGAGAATGTCGACAGGGCGATGTCTGATTCTCAGAGTGGCACACAAGACTATTTCTACAGCAATGGTAGATGTTAGCAGGTTCTTTGTATCAGCGGGTGTCTGCTTGCGTTGTTTACAGGCCAAGCCAGCCTACCCACATGATGCGAAGAACCGGGTCGAGGTGCTGGCGTTTAGCGTTTCTTCGCACATCCACTGCGAGTCTACGGCTGTCCCGGTTGCTTTGTCACTGCGAGTCCTGCAGCGCATGGCCATGGAGCCGAGCCCTCTCCGCTCTGCACTCTGCACTCCCAGCCACTCCCACGCACTCCCTGAAGCCTGGCCGGGGGGTTACATCGGTTACTTCTTGTCGCATGAAGATGGCCAGCCTACCGATCGCAGGCAGATGCCAGAAGTGACCGTCTTCAGCGTCGATGCTGCAGCTCACCCTCAGCATGCCGACACCTGAGGATTTGTTCTGTACCTCTATAAGAGTGCAACTATGCGCAAGCTACGTGTGACCTTGGCACACCTAGCAAGGCCCAGTGCAGTCTATCCTCAATCTGGAAATCGAATCATCAGCAAGTGTTTTTCAAGTCGCGACTCTGCCAAGGTTGCAGATGACATTGGCGACACGTCGCAGCCTCGCCGAGACGTGCAGATGTAGTGAACGCTTCATGCAGCTCCGCATGTGCCGGCACGGCCTCGGCACCGGCAAGTGTGCTGCGAACGAGGCATGGCAGGTCGCGCATGGCGCAGGCGAGCGGCAGGAGCCTGCATGCGGATGTGGAAAGCATCAGAATCGAGCCTGCGAAGGTCCAGCAGCACACGCAGACCCAGCACTCCTCCGAGTCTTGGTGGCATTCGCGGCACCTCGAGTTCCGGTTTCGATCTGTCCTAGCTAAGGATCGCCCACTCCATGCTCACGGTACTCACTCTGAGCACAAACAGGACGACCGACACAGGTCTACAGATGCAGCACGCCACCCGAAGCCCGCAGATAAGAGCCACAAGCAGAAGGAACCGGATCATCGCACTCCCCAGCACAGGCCACCCAAGCCTACATCTCACGGCACTTCGGGTGCTTCTGCCTTGAGAGCAGCAAGCCACCAAGACCACCCGAGCCCTCGACACTCTGCGTCTCGAAAGAGCAGCCAACACAGAGACAGACCACCGGAGCTCGATCCGTCACATTCTCGTCACACAGCTCTCAAGGAGCTGGGCTTTGAGTTGCGGTGCTGTGCCTTGCAGATGCGCACATGCTTATCCGAAGCTTTGCAGAGCGTGCTTACGACAGAGGAGTCGACAGACAGAGAGCAACGGCACCTATCTTGGGATGGATGCATGGCTCATGCCTGTAGGTGTAGTCAGTGCAGTCATGAGGCTTTGTTGCAAAGACTTAGGCAAGCTTCCATTCCTTCTTTTGTGATGTCTCAAAGTGAAGACCATGGTGCTGGACCCAGTGCCGTACGTTGCTATGGCCAACTCATCATGCGCTTGATCTTGTCTAACACTAACCCTAAGCTACCATAGACCAACATTCGCATTGAGGCAGGGCAACATCAACCCCTGCTCCCGAAGGGACTGGCGCCGAGCTCAGATGGTTCGCCGGAAGGGTCCCGCGGGGTGTCATGCGCACCGAGCACATTGCTGCCGTCAAGGAGAAAAAGCTGTGGACAGCAGCCTTTGGCTTGGAATTTCAATTGCAAACAGCAGTCGGTTCCATGAAATCCGCAGCCATCCGCAGGGAAAGAAGTGAAGCTGGGCTCAGCAGCAGTGGTGGGGAGCCCCGGTTTGGACGAACTCTCGGGCCCATGACCCGACGCGAGCTAAATTGACTTCCAAGGTTGAGTCGAAAGCCTTCGCAGAGCAGCTGATCTCACAGGAGCGCGAGAAGTCAGGGCCCCGGCTAACCAGCGCCTAAGCCCAGGGCTTCGCCACGCTTCGTCTTCGTTGTCGGTGTCGGTTTGGACCGAGAGCTGACGTGCGCTCCTCTCCCAGGCTCTGCCCTGGGCTTCCGAGCCGCGTCTCCTTGGAGATCCAGGCGGCCAACGCCAAAATCGCCGAGGAGTTCCTGCGCGGCCGCCCACATCGCCCTGTGTCTGTGTCTGCGCCGGACCGGACGCCAGGAGGTAACTTTTGTCTTCCGCGTGAAGCTGACCACGGAAGACCATGGCATTCCGAACCAGGCGGGGCTGCCGGGCGAAGAGGGTCCGATTAAGCATTCTGTTCGCATTGACGGATGTCATCAGACTCGTGTATTGCGAGCCCAGTACATGAAGCGGGCTCACTAATTCGGACTCGGAGTTTGGATGTTGGTAATTCCAAGGCATGGCTACTTGCAGCATCATGTTATGCCGGTACGTACATCGTACATCAAGGAACAAGCAAGCAGATCGCATATTAGGCAAAGATGATGCATCGACTGTGCGACATGGTCTGGAGAACTTGTCTGGTGCTGGCTCGACGCAGCGGAGTGGCTGAAGAATGCAGGGGGTCGAAACCCTAGCAATGTGGCAGACACAGTCGGCAATGCTTTCACTTTCAACCCCCGGTGCAACAGCCGCAGCAGGTTCTCCATTCCACTGACAGCCCACAGCTTTGTTTACATCACTGATGGCTCCAGAGGACGAGCTGGAATTAAGACACATTGAGACGTCCGCATGAGGTCATCTCTGTACACTTTTCGCGTGCACCGCTAGCGCATGTGGCACACCTGGAACTGTAGCAAGCCCTTCCCCGACAGGCCAAGGAGATCTTACGAACAGGCATTGAGGCCGTCAGAAAGGACCCCCTCACTCAAGTGGTCAAGTCACCAGACTGAGGTGGAATGGAAGGAGAGCTCTGCCGGCACGACGAACGACGAGCAGTCTGCGCTGCGGCCTCAGCGAAGCCACTTGAACCGAATCCTCCGACCATTTTGGCTTCTTGGGCGCACTTTGAGGCTTGCTCGAGCGGAAGACGAACTGTTGGAAAAAAACTCGGAGTGGGATCCCATCTCCCGCGGTGCAAAGCTGGCTGTTGCCCCAGGATGCGCAGTAGCTTCCTGTCTCACGGAAGCTCCATGGTGCTTGAAGTCGAAGTGCGCTTGCATCTTGGCTTCCCCATTCTCAGATTCTCCCACTTGCTGCGTGCGATCTCATGAACGAGACTTTCTCGCTGGTGTTGGCCTGAGAAAGCATGTGGGTGCTTGACTACTGGAAGACGATGGATGATCTCCGCTGTGCAGATGCATCGTTCCTCTTGCCCGAGCAGAATTTAAAACAGTCAACGCCAACATGCCGGGGGACAGACAAATGCATTCTGATTCGGTCAGATGTGACAAACGGTGCAGACCACGTAAACTCAATCGGACGAACACTGCATCTGGATACGATTCCGGCAGTCCATACCTTCGGCGGCATTCCGACACTTCCGGGCCTTCGTTGCTCTTCCTGGCACGTGGTTACGAGTCGAGCTGTGCGCGATGGACCACTTCAGCAATCTGAATTTCTTGATGATTTTCATGATGAAACTAAACCCATCTCCCCCAGTATTGGTAAGGTCAGCATGCCAATTTCGAGATGTGTTGCAAGTCTGGCCTATCCACCAGCTCATGTGACTTTCTAGCTAGTCGGACGGTTGGTCACAGCGTGCGCGCTCGTCATCCTGACCTCCTGAGATGTGCAAACGTGGCAAGAAGATTCATGTGCGCGGCCCGGATGGGGTGAGAGCATGCTATGAGCTTGTTCGCATTCACAGCCTGCTTCGCGGAGGCTGACGGCAGCTCTGCCTCCCTTAGCGAGAACTGGCCTTAACTGGTAGCACAGTTTGAGAGCCGAGTTCGGAGCAGCATGGAGGTTTCTAGCAAACAGGTGCAGGAAAGACGGTTTTGCAAGTCACGCCGGCACAGCAGAGGCAAGAGAACTTCGCCAGTGAAGAAAATCAAGTCGAAGCTTCTCTTCGGCAGATCCGTCCCCACCCCAGAATGAAATATGATCGTGGTCTGCCAGTGTATACTCACCACATGAACTGATGCGTCAGCTGATGGGCTCAAGCGGATAGTTCGAGCGCGGAGCAGTCCGCGAGAGCACGAGGTGAGACCTGGTGGCAGCTAGCTTTGGAAATTCCTGGGAGCTTCTACGTCGTTCTGACGCTCAGGGCGGCCATGTTTCGCGTTCCGGCAGCAGCTCGGGCTCTTTGCCGGCCACGTGCTCACGTTTGCGGTGACAGTTCTCCGAAGCCCAGTGACAGCCATCGATGCAGGTTCCAACAAGCAGTGGCACTCGTCCCTCAGAGCCGGGCGGGTGCAGGCTCCTCAGTCTTCACCTCTGCTCCTGACATCTCTCGCTCTCGCGCCTCTGCCGCCTCTGCTGTGCCGAGGCTGGTCTGCACCGGCTGAACTCCCGCAGATTTAGCGGAGTCCAGCGTGAGTCAATGGAGCTCGCGCCTCAGTGGGCCATAAGGATGTCAAACAGTGCGGAACTCGGAGAATGCTGAGGTTCGACGTCCTGGTAGTTGGAGGCGGCGTTCCTGTTGGTTTGGAACGAAGTAGTCCAGATTGACGAGTCTTGTTGACAAGGCTTCAGCAGTACATGACGAGTACATCCCCCGAAGCTGGCTGGTCCAGAGAGTCCCTCCCAAGTGCCCACAACAAGTCTCGGGCTTCTCGAACAGTCCCACACGACTCCAGACGCGCGCTTGTTTTCCGAAAGCTGGCGAATTGGAAGGTGGCCCTGCAGGCCTGGCGGCGGCGATCCGAGCGAAGCAGCTGGCGCAGGCCTCGGGGCTCGGGGAGCTCAGCGCCCGGGGCCCGGCCTCGGAATGCGGCCGAAGAGCCCAGTGAGCCCCCTTTAAAGCATCCCCAAAGCATCCATGTTGGTTCTCGAGGTCTGTGTTGTTGAGAAGGGCTCGGTCCCCAGACGATTCAGGCTTTGACCAATTGCTAGCCTCGGCCAGCGAGGTGCTGAAATCGGGGCACATATTCTCTCCGGCAACGTTTTCGAGCCACGAGCTCTGCAGGAGTTGGGCAAGCAAGTCCTGCCTTCTGCGCTGCAAGTAGGCTTTGCTCGTCTCATCCAGACTGAAGTTTGTCACTTAATTAGCGGGGACAACTCTTGCAAAGGGGCCCTGGAACCTCCGCCAGCACCCGGCTGTGCCGAAGCATCTTGAAAAAATGTGTGAAAAGGAGCTCTTCCCGGACTGGAAGGATCGAGGAGCGCCGTTGGACACGCCGGTGACCAGTGATTCTTTCTACTGGCTTCTTGATCGCAGCCTGAGACTGGAGATGACCGGAGCGTAGGTGAAGACCTTAGATGTTCCGTCTGTCACACCGTGGACCGCCGTGTAGAATGCATCGTGAAGTGAGTTGCCAGTACAGCGGGTAGCCCCTCGTAGGCTTCCGAACGGGAAGCACGCCGTGCCCATGCCTGGCCCGCTTCTGCACATAGCGCCGGAGATGCGGCAGAAGGTGCTTTGGGGGAGAGCCTGAGGGGCCTGAGCTGCCGCTTCAAGTTCGGTGTTAGGGCAACTACGTGATCTCCTTGGGGCAGCTGTGCCGCTGGCTCTCAGAGCAGGCGGAGGAGCTGGGGGTCGAGATCTACGCAGGCGCCCAGACAGAACCCAGGACATCCCCCCAACGACCGCCAGGGCCCCCAGGGCCCCCCGCCCGCACCGTGGGGAGGCTTTGCTGCAGATGCCCCCGTCTTCGCGGACGGGGGGGCCCTTGCTGGCGTGCAGCTACGGGACGTGGGCATCGGCAAGGACGGCAAAGAGAAGGACACCTTCGAAGCAGGCCCATGTTGAGCATCGTCCTCATGATCCAGGAAATTCCTGCTGTCTCTGTCTCGGGAGGCATGCATCTGCTTGGCAAGCAGACCATCCTTGCAGAAGGCGCACCTCTGCTTGATATCCCGAGATTCAGCAACGTTTGTGTTGTGCCTTTCAGGCTGTCGGGGCTCGCTGAGCGAGATGCTGATGAAGCATTACAACTTGAGAGAAGGCGCGCTCTTGTGTCAATGGCAGTCATGCGCAGCTTGAGAGTTCAACAGTTGTCAGGTGTATCTCCACAGCACTATGGCCTCGGCGTGAAAGAAGTCTGGGAGATCCGCCCAGAGAACCACCGCGCAGGAACGGTGACGCACACGGTTGGTTGGCCGCTGGACATGTGGAGCTATGGTGGCTCATTCATCTATCATATGAAGCCAAACCTGCTCCACATAGGCGGGCTCCAGGGGTCGTTGAGTCGACCAATCAGGGACCGAAGAAATTCATGTCTCAGAAAGTCTCAGAGGTATGGTGGTCGGCCTCGATTATGCCAACCCATACATGAGCCTCGGCACCAGTTACGAGAAGGTGCTTCCGTCCGTCTTTGTTTCCGTTGTCTTTCTGTCACCAAGGAGCCCCTACCAGGAGTTTCAGCGCTTCAAGCAGCATCCTCGAGTTCAGGCGCTTCTCGAGGTCTCTCGGCGGAGGTCGCAGCGTGAGTCCGACGTCTGTGCATGCAAAACGCATGTACATGCTCGCTACATGCTGGGGGATGTACGCCTGCACAACGCGCGACTTCGAGCCACACCGGAATACATGGCAAACAGCGGACTGTACTAAATCTCACGGTCACATTCTATTCAATATGATTGCGACACAATGACATGCTGTACCTTTCAATCTTCTACGCTACACACCGTGTATCTTCGCGGTATTCAAAGGCCATCTTCTGCTTTGCGCTTCTGTGGTGCCTTACCGTGGTTGCATCGCTCTCTGCACTGTATATCAATCATAGTCCCTACGTGCATCGTATTTCAGTACAACTCCAAAACCTGTTCGGCACGTTGCGAATTTAAAGCTGGAGATGATCCTCGAACCGTTACCAGTTCTGCTTCGTTGTATTGCATGCGTTTCACTTCTACACCATCTCATTAAACATCATTAAACACTTGGCTGTTTTGCACTTCGGCAGATTGTGTTGGGTTTTGCTAGTTGGATTTGCAAGTCGTGTTGCTCCGCTCGTGCCGTTTACTTTGTTGCGATGTGAAGCAGAGCAGGTGATCTTCCAAGATGCCTCAGCACAGTTCCAGTGTGTCACAAGCTGTTGAGGGCGGCACCTGCCTCTCCTACGGCGCGCGCTGCCTCAACGAGGGCGGGGTCCAAGCGGTGCCCAAGCTCACCTTCCCTGGCGGGATGCTCACAGGCGCCGAGACTTTCCCGTCTGTGCGCGAAGTTGAGATCTTTTTCAATCTGAGGGCCGTTGTTTACTTCGAGTCTTCTTAGAGGGTCCCGAGTTGTGTTGCCTGCCCGAGGCTGTAGCGCTGGGTTCCTGAATGTGCCGAAGATCAAAGGCAGCCACACGGCGATGAAGCTGCTGGGCTGGATTTTTTTAACGGGTTTGTAGGCTCATTTAGACTTCTTCTTTGCAGCTTAGTGTTTTGGGGTTTTGTTCCCCGAAGCCGTGTGATGTGGTAAAACTGTAGTAACACTACAGAACTCTGAGCTTCGAACCAAAGGGATTTGCTAGCTGTTCCCGCGAGATGCGATCGCCCGTGCTGGCGGCACAACGGGCCACAGAGTGCTAAATTTTTGGGCTCGTCCATGTCGTCTGGTGGAAGCCTCAAGACACCGATGCTCTTGGACTCTTGGGTCCTCTATGGTTGTTTTTGGTTCGGGGGCCGAACTCGACCCCTGCGTTTTGCATATTTCAGGTCCGCCGCCTCCACGACATCACGATGAACTCTGGCGCTTAGGGGCGTTGTCGTAATTCGAAGCCTGAGAAACACCAGCCCCTTTCCTTTAACAAATCTATAAAATCCAATCCAAAAAACCAAAACCAAAAAAACCAAAAAAACCAAAACCAAAACAACAAAAAAAATCAAAAACACCATTATTTCAGCGCTCTTCCAGAATAACATTAGAAATATACACGAATGGGAGAGTTCTGAAAGAATGGTTTTTTGTTTTTTTTGGTTTTGTTTTTTTTGGTTTTGTTTTTTTGCTTTCGATGCTTTGAGACACATTGGCTACGTGACAGACAGTTCAATGAATCGCTGCGCGTTCCAAAAGAAGCCGATGCGTGTCAGCCGTGTGCTGCATCACATATATCGCTCATGCATCACTGGTCTCACTCATGCCGTATACAGTTTGTGATTCGCGGTGTTCCGTACTCAAGCCTAGTATAACCTAGTTCTATTTTCCGGTGACTCATATCTGCACAGCAGTCGCGATTCACGACAAGCTTCCGGTGGCCTCCTCAATACTTATTAAACTATCTTGGTTGGAAAGGACTGTAGTGATACAAAATGAAACTAACGTGCAACCTCTCACCAACTGAACTAGTATCATTCCAACTACTATATTAAGTAATCTCTTTAGTCTTGTACTCTACTAGTCTCACTCATGCCGTATACAGTTTGTGATTCGCAGTGTTCCGTACTCAAGCCTAGTATAACCTAGTTCTATTTTCCGGTGACTCATATCTGCACAGCAGTCGCGATTCACGACAAGCTTCCGGTGGCCTCCTCAATACTTATTAAACTATCTTGGTTGGAAAGGACTGTAGTGATACAAAATGAAACTAACGTGCAACCTCTCACCAACTGAACTAGTATCATTCCAACCACTATATTAAGTAATCTCTTTAGTCTTGTACTCTACTAGGCTTAAACATTAGAACCACTGAGATGTAATGATGTAAGCCTTCACATAAAATCACTAGAACACACATGAAAAACTTAGACAACTTTATTTGTATTAACCTGTACACACAGCTAACCTAGACCATTCATGCCAATGCCACTACCTATAGCTGTTCATCTAGTGTTAGTAAGTCATTTTAATACAGGACAAGACAATACATATAATGGTCCTAATGGGGTAGCATTGATTGTACTTAATGGTAAGACATAATGAAAAAGTGCAACAACATAATAAGAGTCATGAAAATCTATATCAATAGCATCACTAATTACCAAGTATACTACCGGTTGAACCACCTATTGTAAATAGACTATATGAAAGATATTGTAACAGTTAACATTAGTTCTGAAATAGTATCAGTAGACATGCATTACTTGTCCAGGGATGTAGAATACCAACTACATGATCGTAACGAACAAGTTGGTAATGGTCATATAACCAATGTATTAACCTGTAAAGTTAGCTCTTGTATCACTGTTGCATACTAGTTGTAAACATATGATGTGTCCAAACTAATTTATCCTAATAGACAAAGACAACTCATAGCCTCATAGCTCAGGTTATCCGATTATAGACAAGTTAACCAAAGACACTAAACATGCAATAAGCCAGCTATTGTTAAACTATTGATTATCAAATGCTGGAAGGGTAGACTTCTGGATTCCCAAAGAACTAAACCAAACATTGATAGAACATAGCATCACCTCCAAATATGAACCAAATGCTATTGTATTAAGTGCATATCTGTTAATAACCTTAATTAGTGAAGCATCGCACCTGTTAAAATTGGTAGAACTATTAATGAGATAGATGATGTAGTCCTAATTGATCTAGTTATATGTTGGTTATGTAGCTTAACATCAACCTAATGATTGCACAATGTGACAAGTATTACAGAAATTATATACATGTTAATGTTGATGACAGAGCTGATATAGTCAAACTATATAGATAGTAAGATTGATACCGCGCACATACACACACACACACACAATTTTCAGCATATTCCTAAAATATGCAAAACGCAGGGGTCGACTTCGACCCCGTAACCTTTTTGGTTCGGGGTTTGCGTGGAGACGTCCGTGACATTTTTGTTCAAGGGGTGTCTGGTGGTCATCAGGACCGGAATGCTGGCGGGAGCTGCTGCTGCAGAGGCGGTGCTGGGAGGCAGTGCTACTGGTCAAGAGGTGCAGACTCCCGCAAGACGGGGTATCCTTGGGTGCAGCTTGAGCTTGACCGGCAAGTAGCAGCACTGTGAAGCCAAACGAGCCACTGTAGGTGAAAAAGTACGAAGCGGACGTCCGTTCCTCGTGGGTTTGGGACGAGCTGATGCGGGTCCGGAACTTCAAGCCGGTGCGGGGCCCTGCCGCGGCCTGCATCTGGAGCTGCCTTCGTTGGGGCTTTTTGTGGAGGCCTGGCATGCTGGGATGTGGCCAGGGCTGAGCTACGGAGGCATGACTCTGATGGTCAGTCGCGGAAAGGACTCCCCAACAGCTGAGAAGTGATGTAAACGTAGCCATTTCTTCTACAGGTAGTTGTGAAAGTGCGTATTCACATCCTGTCTGAGCCATAGGACAATGCAACACTCTTTCGTATTTTCTACTGTTGAGGAGCCCTGGACTTTCCGGTGGTCGAAGAAAGACAGTGACTTTGTCATTGTGGTGTCCCGTGTCCCCTCGTTGACATCTGATGACATCCTTGGTGCTAAGGCGACTACACGAAGCCAGCAGCTGCACCACGACTGGTTCAGACTGCATCTGCCGTGATGGGGCAGTTGAACCCGGTGCCTGAAAGACCAAAGTTTTAAGGACTGCCAGAAGATTGAGTATCCAAAGCCGGATGGCGTGTTCTCCTTCGATCTGCTGGAAAACCTAGCTCGAAGCGGCTGCCTCAGAAATCCCCGGCAGCTTTGGAGTTTTTCACTCTTTTTCAAGGGCTTCCACTTGCAGGGCTTCCGGTTGCAAGGTGGGGTCAACCACGAGCACGACCAGCCTGCGCACCTCAAAGTGAAAGACGAGCACGCGTCCCTCGGCAATGGCGCGGCCAAGTTGTGTGAAGCTCTCCGAGGACTTGTCGGTCCACAAAATAACTTCTGACCTTAGGCAAGTGCCCCTGGAAGTCTCCCTGCCGCTCTATGATGGGCCCGAGGGGCGTTTTTGCCCTGCGAAGGTCTACGAGCAGCTTGGAATTCAGATTCGGCACGTGCGAGAGCCCCCAAATGCCCTGGAGCATGTCTGAGCAGCCGTTTGCAAACCGTCAGGTATGTGCCAGATGAGGAGGCAGAAGGAAAAATGAAGTTGCAGATCAATGCGCAGAACTGCGTGCACTGCAAATGCTGCTCAATCAAAACCCCGAAGGAGCACTGGGCTTATGATGTCAGTGCTGAGAGTCAGTTCCCTCCCTCCCTCCCTGCCTGCCTGCAGGAGTTCATCAACTGGACCGTTCCTGAAGGTGGAGGTGGTCCACAGTACGCGGCAATGTGACTCCCGTGAATGCCTTGCGAAATGTACATATGAAGAGACTTACGGGCGATCAGGATCAATTCAGCCATCGGCCGCATGTAGCGAGCTGCAAAGATCTCCTGTAGGTTTGTCTTCAGGCTGCCGAAGTTTAGGGCCCCTGTCAAACAGCGGGGGCTCGTCTTGGTGTAGCACTTCGCAGGCGTTCGAAAGTGGAATCTGCGGGTGGAAGTGTGTGGTCCGGGGAAAGAACAACACTCACCAACATTGAGTTCTCTGGCCCATGCTGCCCCCCAGTGCCTAGATTCTAGATGGTTATTTGGACCAGCTTGCGACGAAGTGAAAATCAAGTTCGAAGCTGCGCGTTACAAGTAGGTTGTAAACCTATCAGCGTGAATCAGCACTGAAGCCCATGTCACAGCAGGACCAACACTGTACAAACACCATTCCTACATTTCTTGCGTAGAGCGATAAGAGCACATACTCTTAGATGCATCGCCACGTGTAGACTGCATTGGACAGCCTTGAAGGTGAACTTTATCTCAGCCTGCCTGGTGGCCTTGGTGTCATTGTCGACGAGGAGCGGAAGGCGCGCCTTAGGTCCCAGACTGCAACATGCAGTGGTCGATCTTGTGGCATGTGCCGTCAGGCATATGCAGTGGGGCTGAAGCGTCAGGAGCACCTGGCAGCTCGGGCATCTCGGCAAGAAGCAAGAACTTGCAACTGCCAGTTGAAAGCCGTCGCGTTGACCCAGGACCCGCACCGCAGGTCTTTGATGCAGACAGGATCAGTGAACACGGCCTTTCCCTCGAGCTTCAGCCATCCCGGCCTGTGCTTTTTTTTTGAGCTTTGTCGCCCGCACGGCATGGCCAGGCTGGCTGCGCGAGAGGCCGCAGTGTCTAGACTACGTTCACAACCAGGTCAGGGCTGAAAGGCGGAGAGCTGTGAGCCTTCGCACAGTCGCTGGCTCGTCCTCGCCAGGGCGACTGTGGAGCCTGCTACATGTTTGCTGCTTTGGATTCTCTGTCGGACCGTCACTGCATCGATGCAACAAATGCAGAGCGCTCGGGCCAGAACCCCTTCAACATTTCTCAACTACAGGGCCTAAGTACTTCCCATGCATGGTCACCCCCAGGCTTCACGACTTGGCAAAGTTGATCATCTGTCTGTGCAGATGGCATTGCTCTGCGAACCTTTAGGCTGGGCCACTGACAGACAAAGGCAGCCTGCCCCACGCCTGATAGAGGCCGCCAGTGTTCGGGCGGCTGGGCAGACGTCGGCTTCAACTACTCTGTGTGCGCCAAATTTTCTAGGAAGTGGACAGAGGGGCTTAGCCACGGGCTGTCTGGTCTGTCGAGGTATTTTGGCCTGCAGACGGCTTCGAAGTGGCCGTACGAACGGAGCTGCCTGTCAGACTCCGAGTGCCAGTTCGGGAAGCAGTGTGGGTGCCTCAAACTTTCCGAGCGCCGGAAAGCAGCAGTGAGGGTGCTTCTGCTGTAATCTCAGGCTTTTCCCCCTCTAGCTATGGATGTCCAAGCTTCTTCTCGCAGGCGACATCACGAGGGATGACCTGTAGGATGCCCTAGGCTCGGGAATCGCAGCGACAGGAAGAGCTGGACGGAATTTCCACCTTCAGCGATGCTTTGCGAGCCGGCAGCCGAGCGAGGATCGTGAGGATTTCTGAGGATCCTTCCGCCACAGCGTTGTCGAGGTGACGAAGCGCAAGTGCGAGACTTCGCAACTTGAAGATCCTGACAACTGCAAGGCGCAGTTTTTTTGGTCCCTGCCAGCTCTTTGAAGGGCTCGTCGACTGTCTACAGGTTTGGGCAGAAACCATGTTTGCCATGTCGCCAACGATGGTCTTCATGCCTGCTGCAGCCTTGGGGTCTTGGGGTCTTGGGTACCAATCCTGCGCTCGAGCCGTGGCCGCGCCCGGAGGAGAGCTGCTTCTGCTCAGAGCTCGTGGCGGACTGGGAGACGTGCACATCCCAAGAACCCGCCAGAGAGACAGAGAGAGCGGAGAGAGCGCGGAGAGCGCCCTCGCGGATTTTTTGTGTCTCTGAGGTTTCATGCCAACAAGAACGCGCCCTGTCATAGCAGCGAGCCAAGCGGGGTGCAGGCAGCGAAGGCGGCCCCTTGCGGCCCCTTGCGGCCCCTTGCGGGCCGAGGCCATGGTGATGGCAGCGGAGTTCCAACGATTCTGCTCCAGGCCGGCCTAGGCCAGAGCCGCCAGACGCAGAGCACGTCTCGCCTCGCTTCAAGGAGCATCGCCGTGAGGACGATGACGACGAGGAGAACAGTGGGTGTCCCGCCACGTTTGCGATTTCGGATAAGGCTTGGCGCTGGAATGCTGACGGATATGGATTGAATCTTGGCAGGTTCAATTTCTTCCATTGGCTTTCCAGCCTCTTCTTTGGAAGTCCAGAGGCGAACAGAGCCAACGTCCCTGTTCAGTGGGGCGCGCTTGTGCAAGCGCCTTTGCCAGGAAAAAACATCTCAGGACCTGTGCTGCTTCTATGGTGGCTTGCTTCGTCCGTTTTTGTCTTGGGAGGACAGCACAACCCAAGGCTGGAACTCCGACATCCCAGGACGGACAGCGTGCACGAGCCTTTTTGTTCTTTGCAGACACTAGAAAAGAAGCAGGCGGTTCATGGAGTTCGAACTCCAAGTCTGCCGCAGCCTCGATGCAGTTCGAGACATTTCCGTGTGCACCGACCTGGCTGAGGCTTCTTCGGTCACCCTGACAACGACTACAGTGGAGCCGAAGGGTTGTGCCAAGCTACCAGAGTGTACAGAAGCACCACCTCGCTCTTTCGGAGTTTTTGCAGGTACTCCTTGCCTTACGTGTATGCATTTCTTCATTCAGCGGCGTACGGGTGTCTGTCTGTCTGCCGGGCTGCCTGTCTCCTGTCTCTGGTCTAGCATTTCCTGACCATTCCACTTCTTGGTGGTCCGAACAAGCTCATGTTTCGATTGCATTCGCCCACCCTGAGCTCAGCGGAGACCACATCTCCCATCTCAGCACCCTGTTTTGTCAGCCTGTCCAAACATGCCGGTCCCAGAACAAACATGCCGGCCTTTCCGGGCTTAGTCTCTGCCACGAGTCCGGAGGAGCAGTGCAGCAGGGATCGATGCTTGGCAGAGCCGCAACCGCACAAAGCAACGAGGCGCACCGCGTTGTCCACATTGACATGATCAGCTGTCGCTTTGCGGGATAGTGTCTTCTGCAGGTACCACTACATCGTCAACCAGAAGGACGACGGCATGTTTCATCTATACAAGAAGCAGAGACTCAGAATGCTGCCGATTGCGAAGCATGGGACTTGGTCAGCTGTTGTGCGCCAATGGTGATCAGCATCCCGCCGTGGCTACTTAAAGAAAAGGGGCTGGCATTCGTTACAGCATCGTCTACCTGCAGGGGCCATTCAGTGCTTGAGTCAGTTCTCGTCAGCATATAAAGGTCCGAAGTGCCATGCATGGCTGCCAAGCATTTAACTATTTCGGCAAGATGCGTGTGATGGTGCAGGATGTTTTCAAAATGGAAATCTACAACGATGGCCCTTTTTACACCAGCTACTATGTCTACGAGGCTGGGGTCGATTCAGCTGAGATGCCACTGTGGATAGCCAGTGTTTGGGATTCTGTGCGAGGACTTTACCTGGTTCTTCCAGCTGCAGCCTAATCTGTCTCATGGAATCGCCGTTCACAGTGCTTCTTCATGAAGCCTCAGAAGCTTGAACGGCCCTGTCGTCTCAGGTTCTGGCCTGAGCATGGCTACAACTACCAATGGGGTGCCATGCAGGTACGCGTTTCTGGTCGCCAAGACATATGCACGGGACTGCAAGCCCCATCCACCGCAGTCAACTATTGTGCTACCGTACCGCTCACGAGTGCTGCTTTTCGGGCCGCAGGGTGGCCATGCCGTCGTCCTCATCGGCTGGGAAAGCAGCTGTCATTACCACGGGGACCACCACTCGTTTTGCTGCCAACATGATGCCCATCAATCGAGTAAAGCAAACATGGTGTGAAGATGCTCCTGTTCGTATCATGCTGACGCAAGAGAGCGAAGTTCTAGGTAATTCCTCTGTGACGTCCTCTCCTTCTGTAACCGTTCTGTAAGGCGTAGAGCTGTAGAGTTTCTCAGTGGCATAAACAGAAAATGCGAGCTGTAGAACAGCTTCTCTTTGCAACACGAATTACAAAGTGTTTCCTTCTTTTCGGGTCAGTCACTCGTCATCGAGATTGTGGTTGTCTCTGGCTTCTTTGGACTGTTTGCAGCTCTGCTCAAACGAGAGTCAGCTCCACAGCTTGGCGCCGCCTTCCCTCCGGAAACGCAGAGGCAGCCGGAGTGCCAAGAGTGCAAGTACCCCGCAGTCTAATCGCAGAGTGGGAGCACCCTGGACTAGCTAGCAATAGTGCCGCTGGTAGCTCTGGCTGCGACAACATGCGCGCACGCCTCTTTGTAAAGAACAGAAGATAACCTGTGGCAACAGCAGTTGGTGCAGTGGGGAAGCAGCTACAATCGTGGCCGTCGTCGTCGGTAGTAAAGCAGCAGCAGCTGATCTCTTTGCAGTAGTAGCGCTAGCACCGACAGTACTGTAGCAGAAGTAGCAGTAGCAGCAGCACCAGCAGCAGCAGCAGTAGCAACATCAGCAGCAGTGGCAGCAGCTGCTGCGGCAGCCTCGGCAGCAGCAGCAGCAGGATCAGGACCAGGAGCAGGAGCAGGACGATCAGTAGAAGCAGTCGTAGTAGTCGTCGTAGTAGCGGTAGCAGTAGCAGTAGCGGTAGCGGTAGCAGTAGCAGTAGCAGTAGCAGTAGCAGTAGTAGTAGTAGTAGTAGTAGTAGTAGTAGTAGTCTTCGTAGTCGCAGTCGCAGTCGCAGTCGTAGTCGTAGTCGTAGTGGTCGTTGTAGCAGTAGTAGCAGTAGTAGCAATAGTAGTAGTAGCAGTAGTAGCAGTAGTAGCACTAGTAGTCGTCGTCCCCGTAGTCCTAGTCCTAGTCGTAGTCGTAGTCGTAGTTTTAGTAGTAGTAGTAGTAGTAGTAGTAGTAGTAGTAGTAGTAGTAGTAGTAGTAGTAGTAGTAGTAGTAGTAGTAGTAGTAGTAGTAGTAGTAGTAGTAGTAGTAGTAGTAGTAGTAGTAGTAGTAGTAGTAGTAGTAGTAGTAGTAGTAGTAGTAGTAGTAGTAGTAGTAGTAGTAGTAGTAGTAGTAGTAGTAGTAGTAGTAGTAGTAGTAGTAGTAGTAGTAGTGGTAGGAGGAGGAGGAGGAGGAGTAGGAGTAGGAGTAGGAGTAGGAGTAGGAGCAGGAGCAGGAGCAGGAGCAGGAGCAGGAGGAGGAGGAGGAGGAGGAGGAGGAGGAGCAGGAGCAGGAGCAGGAGCAGGAGCAGGAGGAGGAGGAGGAGGAGGAGGAGGACGAAGACCGAAAGGAAGAGGAACGGGAAGAGGGTTTCCGGTGACATGAGTGAAATAGCAACTTTGAGGCAAAGATCATGTCGGCAGTTTAGCAAAAGACATGATCTTGCAGTTGTCGGAGCACTTATCATCATCATCATCATCGTAATCATCATCACAGCAGCCGAAGACGCGGTGCATTGTTCGCGAACCCGGAGGCCTGATGGCATACTCGAAGATGAACTTTGCGAGGCCTTCCGATCTGGTGGAGCACGTTGTCAAATGTGGGCCATCAGCCCTTCATTTCTGCCTTTCTCTTGAGTCTAATGGATTTATTGGCACTCCGTCAGGATGAACACCATCGAGCCACCACCCGGCCTTGCTCCTCCTCCAGGCCTCGTGCCAATGTCGCTCGGTTGCTGTAAGTGGCTGAGCAGGCTCCAGGCCTTGGCATGGTTGAAACTTGAACTGGGACGGCTTTGGAGGTTGGTCACGCCTTGGACTGTGGCACGCTTGGGGGTTGCGTGGATGCTCGAAGACGAAGCTGAGGTTTCCAGAGGCGGATCAAGCTGCTTGGGATCGCGAGGATGCATGAGATGCCTTTGTCTTGAGAACGGGGCTGACTCAGGGCTGACCACACTCTGAATCCTTTTATATCTATTTCCGATCTGACTATCTACTGTATCTACCGATCTGATCGGGTCTGGTCTGTTCTGGTCTGTCTGCCTGTTTGTCTATGCATCTCTGTATCGGGTATCTCTATCTCTATCCATCTATCTATCTATCTATCCGCCTATCTGTTCATTTTTTTGAATGTGTGTGTGTGTGTGTGTGCACGGCCGTGGGTGTGTGGGTGGGGCGTCGGTGTAAAAGTGCGTGTCTGTGTGTGTGTGTGCGCGTGCGCACTTGCGTGTGTCGGTAAGTGCGTACCGCGGAGCAGAAGTACGCATACACTCGTATATGTATATAGCGGTCATGGTATATGGGTTCTCTCTGCACATATATGCTTTGTGGCTCAGATAGATAATATGACTCTACATGTACATAGACACATACACGCACACTTTATCTCTCTCTCTCTCTCTCTCTCTATATCCTTCTATACACGAAACACCATGCATATGTACATATATATACACACACCCATATAAACAGATACACATAAATACACGTGTCAAGCCGCCCATTATCCACCCCAGCTTTCTTGCCAACGGTTCGTCTACAATATTATGTCTCGAGATGCTTTCTCTGAGGTCCAGAAACCATCGGTATTTACGGTGGTTTCTGCACTTCTCATACACTGACCTTGGCTTTTGGTGCTTGTTTGTGGTATATGTAAGCCACCCAACACCCAAACCAGAATCTGGTTTAGCATCCGCGCTAATTGGAAGAAACACTTGAGCCCTTCTCAATCAAAAAAGACACCAAAAGATCCATTGTTCTGAATAGTTTTTTGAAGCATTCGTTTCAGTAGAAAATCTAATTCTAGTTCAACAAAAGAACACGAAAAGCCTCCTTGGTCCCTTATCCGTACTTAAAATTCAATGAGCTCTTGCAATCTGCCAATATCACAATGAAGAAGTGGTTTCCCTCCACCATATTCCGAGTGCAATTGGTCAGAAGTAAAGCCTGTCGAGCTTCTTGCGATTCATCACACGAATGGAGCAAGAACAAAAACAAAGACCAAGAGAAAAACCAACCTTTTCTTCTTCTCATAAGGAACATGAGAATGCAGCTGTGTACCTTCTCTGCTTCGAGGGATTTATGACAAAGATATATATATATATATATATCTGGAACGCATTCGTTGTTCCTCTCTTAGTAAGAAGCAAAAGACCACTTGGTGCATGCAGCCAGATATCCAGACTCCTCTGTGCCATGCTGCCAGCAAGAAACGAAGAGAGCTGCTACATCGTTCGACAAGACATGAAGTGGCTCCTGTCTTCTCGCTTAGCCTCCTAACAAAAGAGGAGACCCATCTACACGTCTTAAGGCTTTGGAAAGCTTCAAAAGAGTCACATATTGAGCACAGGTTGCCTCGACGAAGGGCACCTTCGTATCTGAAGTTTGAATCTCCATGTTTGTACTGCACTTAAAATTGGCCCAGCGCTGTGTATCTTTTCATACGCAATAAGGCAGCCTTCCCGCCTGTATATGTATATGTATATGTTTATATATATATATACATATATATATATATATATATATATATTTATATATGGCGAACAACAAGAATCCTGTCTGGCGACAGCAAAGGAGCAGAGCCTTTTCCAACCATGAGCCGGGATAAAAACGCTCCTGCAGTTGATACCAAAAAATGCAACAACGCAGCGTCATGTTGCGAGTATAAAACATGAGAGATCCTGTATCGCTGTGAGGTAATGAGCGAGGAGCTACAGTTTTGGCAAGAACAGTCTTGGTACAGATTTAAGGCCTCGACAACTATGCTGTCGTTATCGCCTGCTCGACAAGTAAAGGGGCTTCCCGACAGACACGGCTTGCAGGACGTTGTTACAGCTCCAATTCCGGTGGGCTTGATCTGCCGGCCGGACACATCTCTCGACGAGAAGGCGATCGTGAAGTGTGACTCGCGACAGCCCCAGCATTGCTTTAGCATGTACTTCCTGTGCGGTCTTTGTTCGTAGTTCTGTGCAAGGTTCAAGGGAAGTGATGATGCCTCCGAAAGTGAAGTGACAAGGATCAGCAGCTTGTCACCGTGCGCTATGTTCAGACATGCCGGGTGACAGCGTTTGAAGGACTCCGTCTGTGGAGTCGCAGAGATCCCTCGACTCTTCGTTCGACGAGATTTTGATTGCGCCAAGCATCGGATCCTTTGGACACCCCGAGATGTGCAGCCGCCCATGCGTGTACTTCACTTGGGGTCCATGTCCGAAGGTGGGACTGTCAGATGGATTTTATTCTATGACTTTGCCGGGAAGGGTAGACAAGTCTGTCTTACATGATGATTCCAGTAGCTCTTGCCAGGCAGCTTATTGTGGATTCTGTCATTTGGCTCATCGAGAGCCCATTGGCAAGTTGGACAAAAGGCTTCACACCAGGGTCTGATGTATGCTTCAGCTTTGCGTGTGGACTGACAATCGCTGTGGAATGTCGCAGGTTCGGGCTTGCTGTGGATCACCCGTTTCTCATGTCTCATCTTCAGTTGTCGCAACCACCACTGCCAAATCCGCCGCCACCACCACCCCCACCCCCACCACCACCAGCACCACCACCAGCACCAGCACCGGCACCGGCACCGGCACCGGCACCGGCACCGGCACCGACACCGGCACCAGCACCAGCACCAGCACCAGCAGCACCAGCGCACCAGCAGCACCAGCACCAGCACCAGCACCAGCACCAGCACCAGCACCAGCACCGGCACCGGCACCGGCACCGGCACCGGCACCGGCACCGACACCGGCACCCGCACCAGCACCAGCACCAGCACCAGCAGCACCAGCGCACCAGCACCAGCAGCACCAGCACCAGCACCAGCACCAGCACCAGCACCAGCACCGGCACCGGCACCGGCACCGGCACCAGCACCAGCACCGGCACCGGCACCGGCACCGACAC